TTGTATAGACAGAAATCAAATATGCTTATACAGGTCAGCGTCTAAAAGAGAGCGTTAGGAAAGTCAGAACAGAGCTGGAGAACATTCTGTACTATGGTTTCTTTGAGAGTAACTATTTTAATATTAGAAACCTGCATATATGTAACAGCTTTGATATTTCTCAATAATTCACTTAAGCTTTCCCAAAGGATCCTATGAGATTAATTCATATTTGGGAAAGAAATAGTTAACTGAAAATGTAAAATGGGAAGCTCAGAAATTGTTTAAAGATTTAAATGTTTGGGAACCAGCACTTAGCGTAATGGCTATGTCACTGGACTCCCATGTAGTCGACCGCAGTTTACGTCCCGGACCCGGTGGCTTAAAACTCACGCTGGGTGCATGTGCGTGCGTGCCCAAGATCCCGAGAGGAGAATGGAGGAGAAGGAATTTTGGCATGACCATCCCCCCTGGGGGGTGATTTTTCGCTTTCTGTCTCTATGTCTCTCTCTGTCTGTCTGCCGAGCACACATGCCCTATAGCGAAAATCTCTCCAAAAAAAAGATTTAAATGTTTGGTGGGATTCATAAGACTTAATTCCACAATCTTCTTTGAATCTCTTTTACAAAATTTAGGCATTCTCATTTGTCTAACCCTAGATGGAATCATTAAGAAAGCAAGGTACTCAAACAGTTAAATTACAGAGGTCATGTTTCAGAATAGTTCAAATACAGCTACCAAACAGCTCACCAATAAACACAAGTCACATTTGGAAATTGGTAAACCTACTGAGGTGCCTAGGTCACTTACTTGTTTGTCAAAGGTGAGAAACTGCTTGAGTTGATCAAAGTCCGATGGAGTAACATACTTACGAAGAGGCTGTTTCCGGAGTTCAGTGTAAGGATCAAGAGCCATCTTCTCTGGTGGATTTAATTCAATTCCTTGACTTTCCAAAAATACCTAAATAATTCAATATTAATGATATTTCTTAGAGTTCTTATGGTAATAAGCTAACAGTATAAAAATAAGTATAATACAATAATTTAAATACCATTGCTTATATTAATCACTAGTTCGTGCTTGAACATATCTTAGAAGTACTGAGTCTTCAAGGCTGACCTGTGGCCTCGTGGTTAAGGAAGTTGGATCCTATACGGCTGACAACACGGTGTGAGTCTCAGCCTGTGGCTTGAAAAACACAAAGGGCGCATGTGTGTTTATGTGCCCCAAATCTCAAAAAGGAAGGAGAAATGGAAGAGAAGAAATTATGGCATAACCATGCCCTATGGGGAGTGCTTTCTCCCTCTTTGTCTCTCTCTGGTGAACACATATGCCCTCTGACAAGCTGTAGGGGAAAATAAAATTCTAAGTCTCTAATTGATCCAATTCTGTAATGTAGGTAATAACTGATAGTTACCTTAAGTATTCTATATTATAAAACTGCTAGATAATAAGCCCAACTATTTGGAAGATAGGAGGATAAGGTAAGTATATTCAAATGTGAATTTAGAGCAATCATTTTAGTTAGGTTCCCCCCCACCACAAATAAGCTGTAGGATTGCCTATATACAGACATCTGGAACCTAGTCGTGGCTTCAGATAAGTAGTTCTTATTAGGTAAGGAAGTATGCTGCACAATGGCAAGATAAGCTGAAATCATATTCCCCACTTTCCAATTCACACAAAACAAATACATGATTAAGTTCTTTACCCAAAAGGAAAAAAGAATACCCACTGGTTATTTTTAGATTGGAAATTATTTTAGCGAAACATTGACTGGACAAATCAATTGCTCTAATCTCATCAGAAAACATTAAGAAAAGCACCTGAATTTCACATGTTTTTGAATTGCATTTTGGTAATTATGAGTAAATATATATTCTTCTCCACGGATTTGGGTCAGATACACACATGCACGCAGCGTAAGTTTCAAGCCACTGGGTCTGGCATTTGAACCACCATTGGTCATTTGAGAGTCCAGCAACTTAACCATTACATCATCTGCTGGTCCCAATAAACTGTACCTTTTGGACAATCAAAAAGAAACAATTAAAAAAAAGAAAGAAAGAATTTTATATAACTGTTTATATTCTGGAACTGCAAATTAACATAAATTTTTTGTTTCTTTTGGAAATTGTGCAGCTTAGTCTTGTGCATTTCAACAGAAAATACCCAGAACTCAGGGCCTAATATATAGGTTCTAGTATTACTCCCACTGTTAAGTAGTGTGTGATCTTAATATTTAAAGCTTTATTAGGCGGTTTCCAATATCCTTTCAATAGTAAAATATTATGATCTTAACTTCTATTAAAACTATTGATCTAGAGATAATGACTATATAAAATTTTCCCTTGAGGTGGTGGATTAATGTAGCAAGGTTATTGACTGAGATATTTAATGGGTGTTTTATCCCTTCCCTTGTTTCCAACAGAAAACCAGGCCCTTTTTAACAGCTCTAGTCAAGTGTCAATTCTTTAAAAAAAAAAAAAATATTGATCCTCATTATTGACTGATTCCACATTTGTGAATTTGCCTACTTGCTAAAGTTTATTTGTAGTCTTCAAATCAATACTTGTCATCTTTGTGATCATTCACAAACACACAGGGAGGGGAAAATATGAGATGCCCAAATACACACATTCCCAGCTGAAGTGGAATGTGACGAAGCTTTTTTGTTCTAGCTTTCATACTATAAACAAGAATCCCTTTTGCAGTTTATTTAGTGCCATATTTTTTTGTATTCTTTGAGCTTTTTGTTAGTGATTTTGCTGTCTGAAATGCTTCTGAAGCAAAGTGCCAAAGAGTTGCTTTGTGTTCTTAAGCACAGGAAGGCTGTGATATGCCTTATGGAGGACATACATGTGTTAGATAAGCTTAATTCAGTTGTGAGTAATAGTGTTAAGCACAAGTTCACCGTTAGTGGATCAATAATATATACAATCATCCCTCAGCACTGTGGAAGATGGTATCCAGGATCCCTGTGGATACCAAATCCAATGATGCTCAAGTCCTTATGGCATATCATTTGCATATAAGTTATGCATATCCTCCCATATACTTTAAATAATCTCTAAGTTACCTGTTATACTAATACAATATAGATGCTATGGGAATAGTTGTTCTATTGTATTGCTTTTATTTGTATTTTAAAATTATTTTTAATACTATTTTGATCCCACGAATACACAGGACTAGCTGTATTAAATAAGACATTTTAAAATAGAATCACACATAAAACAAGGTTATATATTCATCGGTTAACAAAAATGTTATGAGCACAGAGTCACAGATATTTGTATTTACCGAGAGCAAAGGTTTAGTATTTGCTAATTCAGGGCTTGCAGTGGCTATAGGTCACCACTACTGTGAATAATAAGAATCAGGGAACCAGCAGTTGGTGTAATGGCTATGTCGCTGGACTCCCACGTAGTCGACCACGGTTCGCGTCCCAGACCCAGTGGCTTAGAACTCACGCCGGGTGCGTGTGCGTGCGTGCCCAAGATCCCAAGAGGAGAATGGAAGAGAAGGGACTGCGGCATGACCATCCCCCCTGGGGGGTGATTTCTCGCTTTCTGTCTCTATGTCTCTTTCTATCTGTCTGGCGAGTGCACGCACCCTATAGCGAAAACCTCTCCAAAAATAAAAAAAATTATAATAATAAGAATCAGCTGTAACTGGATAGATTAACTCCTCACTGATTAACTTGAAAATGTTCACATTGTCCTTAAAGACATGACTGTAAGGATAATTGTTAATACCTGTAAACATTTTATAATTTCTCACTGTTGACACAGTTCTGAAACTGCCTGTGATTTACAGGACCTTGGAAACCTAAAATGTAGGACATCAAAATATGTCTCTTTTTTGGGGGGGAGGGGAGAATCTTTTTATTTTTTGCGGTCATTAAATAGGTATTCTTCAATATGTTTTTTTTTTAATTTCAAAAAGGCAGTTTTAGCTTTAATAAATCAAAATCAAAAAAATGTTAAGAGAACTTTGCTTAAGACTTAAAGTCAGGAAACAGGTTATGATTCTGTTCAAATGATAGTTACCTGGATCTGTCAACAATTCAAGAGAAAAAAATAACCCTTATTTCTGGACTACAACACATAGAAAAAAATCAATATTATTTTTCTCAAAAGCCATAAGATTCTATTTTATCAGCTCAGTCTCATGTACTTAATCTAACTTCTGTTGTGGTCCAAGCTTTCTGTTTAAATTCTGAAAGATAACATTCAATTCTGGACTTGTCCCTACCATTAAGTTGGCCCTTTTCTTAGATTTTTTTTTTTTTAACTCTTATTACTGTGTGTCTGACTTTAGTTTTCCTGATATAACACTTTCTTCAGAACTTCTTAGAGAACTGGTCTGGTATTGGTAAATTCTTTCAGGTTTTGTTTATATGAGAATATTCTTGTCTTCCCTTCCCATATGAAGGATAATCTTCCTGGGTATAGTATTCTTGGTTGAAATTTCAAATTCCAGAACTGGCGGCTTGAGAACACACTGGGCATGTGTGCATGCATGCCCCAAACCCTGAGGGTAACAGAGGAGAAGGGACTGTAGCATTGTCATCCTCTCTGGGGAGTCTTGGTCTCTCTCTGGCAAGTGCACACACACTATAGCAAAAAAAAAAAAAAGTCTTAAAAAGAAAAAATTGGTTTTTGTTTTTATTTTGTTTGGTTTTAATTTTAGGTTTTTGCCATAGGGTATGTGTCCATGCCAGGAAGAGACAGAAGGAGGGAAAGTAAGAAATCACCCCCCAGGGGTGGCCACTCCACAGTCCCATCTCCTCCATTCCCTTCTTGAGATTTTGGGATGCAAGCATGTTTTTCAAGCCATTGGGTCCAGGACTCAAATCATGGTCAGCCATGTAGGACTCTAGCGCCTTAACCACCATATCACCTGTTGCCCCACCACCCATCTTTGCATTTTAAAAAAATGCAAATTTATGAAATAGAGACAGGGTTCTCAATATAAAAGTTTTCAAATAGTTTTATTTTAGAAATTCTTTGGATAGCTATTTTTTTCCTAGAATATAGTATCATTGACCTCAAAAAATATAAATTGCACAAAAAATTTCAGGCTCAAAGCTGCTAGCAAAAGTGATATTATTATTATTATTTTGGAGAGATTTATTTTTGCTATAGGGTATGTGCACTCATCGGCGAGACAGAGAGAGACAGAGAGACAGAAAGTGAGAAATCACCACACTGCATTGATTTTGAGTGGATATATATATAAATGGCATTCTTTTTAAAAATGATGTTACTACATCATGTTGGTATTTCTCATCCAACTGTGCACGCACAGGTATATGCGCATGCGTGCGCACAAACACACAGATACCTAGTTAAGCTGCAGAGTAATTCACACTGGACAGATTACCAGTATCTATCCCTTCCCCTAATAACTGTATCCTTCCATAAGTAAGAATGATGCCTCAGACCCCCAAACTGTCAAAAAACATATACTATACCTGTGTGAACTGGTCACAGTCAACAATGCGGAAAGTTTTGCCATAAATTGTGATGTTTATTCCTCTATTTAGGTCTTTCCAGTGGTAATGATCTCCTTGGTCATTCTTGGCTAGCCGCTGGCGTTTGATTAACTTGCCTTGAGGGATCCCAGAGTTTTCTACAACAGGCTCTATAACAGACATACTGTCATCTTCTAGATAGTAGTAAATGTTCACTTGACGAATCCTATAATGTTCCTCAGTTGATACAGGAACAGTTTCTTGAAAATAAGCATCAAATTTCAGAACCTGTAACAAACAAAGAAGAAATTATATAGGCACTAGTTTGTTATTGTCATCTAAAAAATATCAAATACACCCCTGAAAAGAGATTCTAATAGTTATTGTTCTTAGCCTCTAAATTCAGAGTTGGCAAACTACATTCTATACTTTTGTGTTGCCTGTAAGCCAAGAACATATCTTACATGTTTACATGGTTGGAAAAAATGAGAATATTTTATGGAACATAGAAATTATGAAATTCAAACTTCAGTATCCACAAATAAAGCGATTATATAAATAATTAACACATATTCATTAAAGGTTATTCTCCCATTACAAAGGCAGAGTTGGGTAGCTATCTTAGAGACAATATGTTACCATGGCCTAAATATTGTTCCCTCAAAATTCTTAGGTTGAAGCTGTAACCCCCAATGTGACTGTATTTGGAGACAGGGTCTGTAAGTGATAATTAATGAATGAATTAATTGGTCTAAGATAATTAACTCTTAGGAGTAAAGTCCTAATCCAAACTAACTGGTGGCTTGTAAGAAAAAAGGAAGAAACAAAGAGCAATTCCATTCCCCCACTCAGCATGTGCATGCACTGAGGAAAGCCCATGGGAGAATATAACAAGAAGGGAGTTGTCTGTGAGTGAGGAAGGGAGCCCTCACCAGAAACCAAGTCAGTTGAGACCATGATCTTGGACATTTAGCCCCCAGAACTGTGAGAAAATAAATTTCTTTTAAGTCACCCATTGTATGGTATTTTGCCATGGCAGCATGAGCAGACTAAAACTGCTGCAACAGCCAAAACTTTTACTGTCTGGCCCTTTATAGAAAAAGTTTGCTGACATCTGCTCTTAATGCTCATAGGTTGTATAGATTATTTACTGTGTGTGTTCCATGGTGAGACTCTTGTAAATGCACAATCACTCATTCTTATAGACTTTAGGTGAATGACTTTCAAATCATTAATTTCACCATTGAAGCTTTGGAGGTTCTCACTATGCTTAAGAACATACATATTATATAGAGTCAAATGTTGGTTCTTTGGGGAACATCAACATCAATGTGAAGTCAAAATAAGACATCTATGAATTTTTTTAAAGACAGAGTTTTTGCTATAGGGCGCATGTGCTTGCCAGAGATACAAAGAGAGATAGAAAGAGAGAAAGTGAGAAACTATTCCCCAGGGAGGATGGCCATGCTGCAATACCCCCTCTTTCATTCTCTTCTTGGGATTTGGGGCACACATGCACACATACCTGGCATGAGTTCCAAGCACCAGATCCAACACCCAAACTGTGGTTGACCATGTGGGAGCCCACTCAGCACCTTAACCACCTGCTGGCCCCTCTATGAATTTTTTTTTTATAAGAAAGTAACTTTATAAAAAGCATATGTTAATATGTTAATAACTTTTAAAATCCTATTATGGCAATCCCAGAGATAGAAAGACCAACAGACAGGCCCAAACCAAGCTTCCCAGCTTGAACTCATAAGCAAGGACCCCTGACCAATCTGCTGTGGGTGAGGAGTAGCCCTCCAGCCTGTATGGTGTGTTTGCACACTTCATGAATTGGTCTACCACTTTACTTTCTTCTTCTTTTTTTTTTTAAGAGGTTTTTGCTTTAGGGCATGTGGGCTTGCCAGGGAGAGGGAGAAAGAGAGAGGGAGAAAAAGAGAGAGAGAAAGAGAGAGAGAGAGACAGGTGGAGAGGGAATGTGAAAAATCACACACACACACACTCACACCAGGAGGAATGACCATACCACAATTCCTTCTCCTCCACTCTTCTCCTGGGAACCTGTGCACAAATGTACACATGCCTGGCATGAGTTTCAAGCTGCCAGGTCCAAGACTCAAATAACAGTCAGCCATGTGGGAGTCCAGTGCCTTAACCACTATGCCACCTGCTAGCCTCTTAAAGTTTTCTATCTGTCAGTACAACCTCCATCCACATTTGGGGCAGTTAGGTTTGGGTATACAAGAACCAAACAACTCAAAATAGGAGTCTGTGGAGGAATTCTTTCTCCATAACTTCCTTGACAGTAAAAGGAGAGAAACTCCCCCTTTGAATACCTAAACTCTAAGCTCCTACTGTAGATTCCACACTCCCACTGACAGTACAGGAAGGAAATTAACACATATCTTACACATATCATAGAGAAGTGCAGGAGCACACAGCTACCGAAACACACTCTGAAGAAGTAGGAAGAAGTGAGTATATCACTAGATAACTAAAAATCAAACCAGAGCCTGAAGAAATAGGAGAAAATAAGGAAATACCTCCCCCTCAAAGGATCATTGTCTCTTACCAACTATGGATAAAATGACAAGAGATCACAGAAATGTCAGAAAAGGAATTCAAACAATTCATTGTAACAATACTTAATAATACACAAGAAAAAAACCAGAGAACCAATTGCAGGAGATGAGAAAATCTATGACATGATGGAGGGACTCCATAAGGAGATAGACACACTGAAAAAGAATCAAACAGAATTTCTGGAGATAAAAAAATACAGTGCAGGAAATCAAAACCTCCTTTGAAAGTATCAACAGCATATTAGACCATGCAGAAGAAATAACCTCTGACCTTGAAGACAAAACCTGATTTAGTTCAAGCAAGTGAAAACAATAGTAGAATAACCATTAAAAATGAGAAGAATAGGGACTAGCAGTTAGCATAATGGCTATGTCGCTGGACTCCCGCGTAGTCTACCATGGTTCGAGTCCCAGACCCGGTGGCTTAAACTCACGCCGGGCGCGTGTGCATGCGTGCCCAAGATCCCGAGAGGAGAATGGAAGAGAAGGGATTGAGGCGTGGCCATCCCCCCTGGGGGGTGATTTCTCGCTTTCTGTCTCTCTCTGTCTGTCTAGCGAGCACACGTGCCCTATAGCAAAAACCTCTCCCCCAAAAAAGAGGAGAATATATGGAAAATTCTAGAAACCATTAAATGGCCAAATAGCTATAGGTATTCCAGAAGGCAAAGAGATAGGTAAAGGCATAGGAAACATTTTTCATAATATATTACCTGAAAACTTTCCAAATTTAGAGAAGCATGAAGACATCCAAATTCAGGAGATACAAAAGTCACCAAATAGATAAAACATGAGAAGATCCTTTCCAAGGTATATCATAGCTAAATTGGTAAAAATCAAAGACCAAAGAGAAAAGTCTAAAAATGGCAAGAGAAAAATCCCAAGTTACTTACAAAGATTACCCTATTAGAAGATATTAAAAATAAGAACAGAACCCTGAAAATGTTTACAGTTAAGAAGTGTGAGGAGGGGCCCAGCCACAATGGTATGCTTTGCTAAGACATTATGCTTTGCAGGCTGGGACCACATAGGAAGGCTGGGTTCAACTCCTGGTCCAATTTAAAGGTCAGGTGTATTGATGTGTACCTGGGAACTTGGGAAGCTAAAGGAGAGCTCAAGGGTGGCATGGGTAACATAGTGAGACCTATAGTGAGGTTAGAAAGAGCCAGGTATGCTGGCACACATCTATGGTGCAGCTACAGGCTGAGGCAGGAGGATCAAGACATAGTAATGCCCTGTCTAAAATATCACACACACACACACATACACACACACAGGAGAGGAGAAAGGCAAACCAGGAAGAAAAGGAAGCACATAGAGGAGGAGGAGAATCAAAAGAGTGAAAAGTCATGGGAGCAAAAAAAAGCAGAGTTTCAGGAAGAATGGGAGCATTAACAGTATTACATGTTGCATGTCAAAGAGAAAGGTAGCAAAGTAAATCTCTCTAGATGTGGCAAAAAGGATGACACTGGCTACTCGGGGAAAAGCCTTGGGCTTGAGGATGGGGAGAAGGCTGTTAGTAAGTGATCTGACACATTTGGGAAACAACTTCTCTTGCTTAAAGGAATCTCAAGGCACAAAGAGAACTTTTTAGGATGGGATAATATGACTGTAGCCAGGTAAATAGTCACTAGAATGCTTAGAACAAATAATACAAAAGCTGAAGATAAAAGAATAATAATATAAGGAACAAAAGAGTGAGAAGTTAACCTGTGATGGCAGAATTATATGAAAACAGGGAAAAGATGGAAGACACTCACAGTTAATGTCCCAGTCTTTATCACCTGAGTGAAAATGAATTTATACCCAATAAGGAAAAGTTCCAAGACTGTCCAAAATATAGACAAATATGTTGGCTATTAAGTGGACCTCTGGGTATTCCTACAAAAACCAAAGCAAAACAAAAACCTTCAACTCTGATTTAATTCATAAAAATCATAATTCCCTTACAAACTTAGTTTCAAACACAATAATTCATCTACTCTCTCTCAGTATATATGCTAATAATCGTTTCTCTAGAAACTATGATGATCCAGGTAAAATGAATTGAAATGTTAAAATGTAGATATTCTGGGACCAGCAGATGGCATAATGGTAACATCATTGGACTCCCATGTGGTCCACCACAGTTCAAGACTTGGAGCCGGTGGCTTAAAACACGCCAGGTACATATGTGTGCATGCCCAAAATCTCAAGAGGAGAATGGAGGAGAAGGGATTGTGGCATGGCTGTCTCCCCTGGGGGTGGATTTCTCACTGTCTCTCTGTCTCTCTCTCCAGTGAGTGCCCATACCATATATAACAAAAATCTCTTTAAAAAATGTAAATAGTCTATCAATACATGTATACTATACTTAAAGGAATCAATTATAAATAATATAAATAAGTATAAATTAAGTAATACAATTAGTATGAAATAACATTGAAAAACAAAAATTAAAAACCATTGAAAAACAAAAATAAAAAAGCTGTTTTCTTCTCAGGCACAATTTATCTCTCTCTGTATTTCATCAATACTTTCTTATAACATGTATCACTATATCATTGCCTACTTTATAATAGTTATTTGCTACTCTTTTCAGTTAAAACTGAACATCCCAGGATTTATGTCTTGATAAATTGTTCAATGCCTATCTCACTTCTCTCCTGTATTTTCACCTTTTTCCTTCTCTAGTGATTTTGCAGTACTTGTGACAACTATGAATAAACAAGAGAAAGAAACAAAAGGAAGAGATCCACCAAATTATATAACATATACTGTTTAGCGGATGTGTAGGTTCAGACTTTGAATGGAGATGTGACTGTGTTCCTATAAATATGTTAACTGAGAGGGGAAGAATAGGAGACAATATGGATTCTGGTTAGTAAATTCAAAAAATTTAAAAACTGATTATCAATGTAAATAGCATGGTTCCTCTTTAGCCTCTAGCTTATGATAGATAACTCATTACAAGTTGCCTGGCTGAATGAAAATGTTACAGACATTGCAATCATTGCAATAGAAAATTAATAAATCAAAAAAATTAAGACCAAAAAAAAAAATCAAAACAAAACAAAACAAAACACCAGAGAGAGAGAGAAAAAAAAAGTGATATAGAGAGAAAGGAAATAGGCTACAGGTAAATTAAGAAAGCTAACTTGTAATAACTGGTCAGGAGTTAGACTATTTATACTTAAAAATCAATGAGGGTTACAATGGTATCTGAGGGACGATAAGTTAGCATAATGGCTATGTCGCCGAACTTCCATGTAGTCGACCACGGTTCGAGTCCCAGACCCAGTGGCTTAAACTCATGCTGGGCGTGTGTGCATGCGTGCCCAAGCTCCTGAGAAAAGAATGGAGGAGAAGGGATTGCGTCATGTCCATCCCCTCTGGTGGGTGATTTCTTGCTTTCTATCTCTGTCTCTCTCTCTCTCTTTCTGGTGAGTGCACATCCCCTATAGCAAAAACCTCTCCCCCACCCCCCAAAAATAAAAAGAATGGTATCTGAGTCTCAAAGTCTCACCAGCAATTCTGCTGCATGGACACTACTAGGACTACATCACTGTAGTGAACGAGGAACAAGGGTGATGCGGAAAAGACAACACATGGAAATGAGGCAACTGACAGTGCAAAAGCATAAGCGTAGATGGGAAATAAAAATTTTCTATCACTCTTTGATTATCTATTTAGTAATATCAAATCTGAAATGTTCTGTGAAAAGCAAAAATTTATGGAGACAGTCTAGAGAAAGCAACAGATAAGAGGCATTGCTTTCATGATGATATCTTGCATTTCAGAGAGATTAAGGATTTGCCATCAATACAGAATACAGTACTTTTTAAAAACAGAAAACAAACTCAAGAATTCAGAATTCATCCAGCTTTTCTCAAACTGTATTCGGAAAATATGCCAGTGAAGTCTACAGGGAATTACTTTCTGTAATCAGCTTCCTGACTAAAGAAAGCCTCTTTTAAGCCGGAGTTCAGCTGTCTATGACTAAGGATTGAGGCATTTGAACAATTTTCTTCTCAGAGTACTCTGGGAATCCTGTGGTTTGCTGTTAACTCTTCTGCATGCAGTTGGCTTTCTGATATTTGACTTCAAGGGGTATCCTAAAATCACAGATGATACCTTTTTGTCAAAAGCCACATGCGCAGGAATAAAATCTGGAGGTGGGGCCTGCTTAGGTTGGCCATAAGTTAGAATTGGTGCCTTTTTGGCCAACTCGTCCAGGTCAGCCTGGGACAGCTGGTTGACCTGGAGCCGGTCCCCGCCTATTCCAACTGTTGGACGTCGAGTGACTGCATAGCCATTCCTGTAGCCCAGTGTCTGGCTTCTATGGAAAGCTGTTTTCTGCAAAAAGATAGAAATGTGCCATTAATAGCATTATACATATATTTGCTGGGTAAAATGACTAAGTGTTCTAAAATATTATAACTTAAATTTTCATTTATAAAAAGCACAAAATTTTTATCAGAAAGTCTGCCTACATTAAAAGTGTGTGTATTTTATGCTAAAACACATAGACGAGAACAAGGAGGGAAGTAGCTATCTGGCCTTAAAATTTAAAACCCTGCTCTGTCCAATTTAACAACCAGTTCCCCTTATAAGAGAAACTAAAATAAAATCTCAGTTATACTATCAATTTTTCATTAGTCTTTTCATATTTTTCATCTGATTGATAGTCATAAATCATAGAACTTAAAGATTGGTTTCTGTGAGTTTTATTTTACCTGCAATGAAAAGCCATTCTTGTTACAGTGTCACTGATACATTCAAGCAACTTGTTGGAAACCAACTAGACAGTATATAAAGTACTAAACTCAGTAATTGTACCCCTAATCATTTATTTTAAAGACAAAAATCCCAAATTGTGTGTGTGTGTGTGGGGGGGGATGTATGCGAAAAGCTGACCACTATAGTGTTCTGTACAATTGCAAAACATTGGAAATAATCTAAAAGACAAACACATGAAGTGAGTAAATGATGGAAAACTCACATAATGACTATTAGACATCTATTAAAATACTGGTTTTAGGGCTAGCCAATAGTATAATGGTTTGGGTGGCTGGATCCCACATGGCCAAGTGCACAGTTCAAGTCCCAGATCTGGTGGCTTAAAAAATACAATGGGTTCATGTGTATGTATGCCCAAAATTTCAAAAGGAGGAAGAAGTGAAGGAGAAGGAATTATGGTGTGGCCATTCACCATGAGGAGTGTTTTCTCATGGTGAGTATATGCACCCTCTGGCAAAATTTAAAAATATATAAATATATCAATTTTAAAATCATATAGCAACCAGGAAAAAAAGTTTATGACTTAATAAGCCCCCAAAAGCAACATATTAAATTAAATATATACTACAATTAAAAGCATGAAAACATGTGAATTAAAAGAGACTAGATTTGGTGAATTTCCTCTGTCTGTACTATATATATTTTTTAACATTTTGAGAGATTTTTGTTTTGTTTTATGTTTTTGCCACAGGGTGCATGCACTTTCCAGAGAGATACAGAGACAGTGAGAGGGTAAGTGAGGAATCATCTCCCCAGGGAAGATGGCCATGCCACAATCCTTTCTCCTCCTGGGATTTTGGACATACATGCACATGCACCACACTGGGATTTTGTACATACATGCACATGCACCCAGTGAGATTTTCAAGTCACCAGGTCCAGGACTCAAACCATGGGTGACCATGTGGGAGTCCAGCACCTTAGCCACCATTCCACTTGCTGATCCCTATTTTGAGTTTGTATTACAATGAACATACTTTTATTGTTAGTTGGAAAAAAATAAAAGATTAAACAAAAAAAGAAAAGAGTGGAAATGCAAATTAGAGGTTATAATAATTTGATAGTTGTACTTTTCCTGGTGTTTATAAGGTTTCATTTAAAATTTTATATAATTATAATGATATATAATTATACGTAGTTACATAATCTTATATAATTTAGCATTAATTATAAAATATATTTTAAATAAAAATAGGACTTGCCATACATACTAATTTCATTGTAGTCCAACCTACCATCTTTCAAGATCTGGACAACACAAAATTTCCATAGGATGAATTCTTTACTGAAAGAACTACAGTTTGGGGCCAACAGGTGGCATGCTGATTAAGGTGCTAGACTCCCACATGGCTGACCATGGTTCAAACCCCAGATCCTGCAGATTGAAAATCAAGCCAGACGTGTGTGTGTTTGTGTGTGTGCGTGTGTGTGTGTGTGTACCCAAAATCCTGAGAGGAGAAGGGAGTTGAAGGAATTGTGGTGTGGTCATCCTCCCTGGGGGGTGATTTCTCACTATCTCTCCAGCAAACATATGCACCCTATGGCAAGAATCTAAAAAAAGAAAATGAAAGAAAGAGAGTTATAGTTTGTGGACTTTTTTAAAGGTCACAAGTCAGTTGACTAAAACTATTCCAGGTGTACAATATATACAACATAGAGCAAAATGGGCTGAGGTGACTTCTTCACTAGGTAGGTAACTTACATAAGTAACTTCATGTTTCTCTTCTACCTCTAAAGTCAGAAACCACATCAGCTTTCCCCATTTTAAGATAGCAGCCTCTGACACCCCTCAGCTAAGCCGTGGGCCTCCCAGGCAAGGCCATCGCAGGCCTCCTTGCCCCTCATTCATTATGGTTCATCAGAATTTTGAGTGCCTTTAGAGTTACACATACCTAGTCCTTCATTGCTGAATATATGAGGGAGAGTCTTCAAAAAGTTCGTGGAAACACATAGAATGAAAAAACTGCATGAAATTCGAAAACTTTTTTTCCACCAAAATAAACACAGACTTTAATTACATTCACCATGGATTTTCTTGAAGTACCCCTGTATAATGATCATGGTTTTCAATAAGGCAAATTAGTTGACATATGGATAGTCTATTTAAAATATGAAATATGGGGCCAGTCCTGTAACTAAGTGGGGTTAAGGGAGCCAGATCTTACATGCTTGATGGCAGCTCAAGTCCTGGCCCCAATGGCCAGAAAAACACGCCCAGCATGTGTACATGTGTGCATGTGTGCCCCAAATCTGTCCCTCTGTTCCTCTCTGGTAAGGGCATGTACCCTCTGGAAATTAAAATAATACATGCATGAAATATGTCCAATGTACAATTCACCTTACCTGCAGTTTGGCAATTTATGTCTTTAGAGCCTGGCACTTCCTTTCGTACCTTTATAAGTTCCCAAATCAACTCAACCCTGCCTTGTGGGTAACCTAGATTCACCAGCAACTGCTTATACTGAGCCCATGTAGAGCAGGGAAATGACAAATTTTCCAAAATTACATAACACTAAAAAGTCTACTAAAGCTAAAAATTTGTGATATATCTTTTTTTTTTTTTTTTTTTTTAGTTTTTTTTCCATAGGGCATGTTTGCTAGCCAGTAAGAGAAAGACAGTGAGAGGGAAAATGAGAAATCAATCCCTGGGGGGCTTTCATCCTCAGAGGGGATGGTCACCTAGAAGTCCCTTCTCTTTCATTCTCCTCTCGGGATTTTGGCCATGCATGCACACGTGCCCAGCATGATTTTCAAGCCACCAGACCTGGGACTTAAACCATGGTCAGCCATGTAGAAGTCTAGCACTGTAACCACTATGCTACCTGATTACCCCTATGATATATCTTTTCTTTTCTTTCATTTATTTATTTATTTCTACGTTTTCCACAAACATTTACTTTACAAATTTTAGCTCATACTCCATCATCCTTGACAGTTAATAAACAACTTCCAAAATTTCAAAATACTGAATTTTAAAGATAATGTTCAAAATATTTCTTATAATTTTGTACAATTTTGTTCGTGACTCTATAACAACAGAGACAGTATGGTTTTATATATTTTTGAGAAAATATTTACATGTCAACTACTCAAATTGCTGAACAGCAAATGCCCACCACACAAATCACACATAAATCTTCTCAATTCAGCCCTGCCTACCAAGTATTCTGTGATATACCATCTGCTAGCAAAGATAAGTCTCTTTTTCTTCCTTCAAAGTCTTTCTCAAGATAATCCTCTGGTGTGGATGCCCTTTTGCAATCTCTACTGGTTACAATGCTGGGCTAGAAAAGTCCAGGTTGTTCTATGTTATAAATTCTTTCATATATCTTCTCTAATTCTCTCTGCGAGAACTATTTATGGTGCCAGGCCATCTTTCTAAGAGCTTCTATCGGCTTACTTGAGATCCACCTTAGTTCCATAGTTTTCTGATTAATCCTCAGGTATGACATTCCAGTCAAAGTCATGTCCAATATGAGTATTTCCAATTTCTTATTCAATGCAACAAGCATTACTGAACTTATGCAAATAACCCTTCTGCCACAAAATAAGAATACTCCCAAATATTTTCCAATTCCAGAGGGGTCAGAAAGGAAGAAAAGTTTATATTTCTATTTAAAGAAACAAACAAGAAAAATATCTTAACAAATTGCTAAACCTATCAACACCTCAAAAGAAAGAAAAATGCTTACATTGGGAAAACAAAGCATAGTTTAAAAAAATCAGTAATGTTTTACTCAAATGTCATAAAATCCTATTTCATCAGTTCAGTCTTATGTTCAAACTCTCTTCTGTTGAATATGCAGTGTTGCTGTGGTCCAATCTTTCCATTTAAATTCTGGAAGTTAACATTCAACATTATCATTGATATTTCTTGTCCCTAGCTTTAAAGTGGTCATTTTCTTGGCTGCCTTTTGTTTTCTTATTTCTGTATGTGTCTTTAGTTTCCTGGTAGAGCACTCCTTTCAGAACTTCTTTATTTTTTTCTTTTTTTTGGAGAGGTTTTTGCTATAGGGCGCATGCGCTCACCAGACAGACAGAGAGAGACAGAGAGATAGAAAGTGAAAAATCACCCCCCAGGGGGAATGGCCATGCCTCAATCTCTTCTCCTCCATTCTCCTCTCAGGATCTTGGGCACGCATGCACACGCGCCCGGCGTGAGTTTAAGCCACCGGGTCCAGCGTGAGTTTAAGCCACTGCGGTCGACTACGGGGGAGTCCAGCGACATAGCCATTACGCTAACTGCTGGTCCCTTTCAGAACTTCTTGAAGAGTGGGTATGCTATTGGCAAATTCTTTCAGGTGTCATTTGTCTGAGAATTTTTTTTTATCCTTTCTTTCTATATGAAGGATAATCTTGCTGGGTATAGTATTCTTGGTTTTTCACTTAATGCTTTGAATATATTTTCCCATTCTTTCCTTGCTCGCATTGTTTCTGATGAGAGGTCTGAGGTTAGCCTGATTGGATAACCTTTATAAGTAACCTGGTGTTTCTCTCTTGCAATTTTAATATCTTGTCTTTGCCTGTAGATTTGGCTAGTCTGGGTATGATGTGCCTTGGAGAAGATTTTCTTGGGTTGATTCTATTAGGGGTCCTTTGTAATTCTTGGGTCTGAATATTTGAATGCCTCTCCAGATTTGGAAAGTTTTCTTCCAAGATTTCATGGAATAGATTAACAATGCCTTTATTAGTTTTCTCACCTTCTGGGATACCGATTATCCAGATGTTTGGGTGCTTAATGCTGTCTAGTATTTCTTGTATAGTATTCTCATTTTTGTGGGTTATTTTATCAGTTTTATTGGTTGTTTTTTCTAGATCAGATGTTTTGCCTTCAACGTCTGAGATTGGATTTTCTGCATGGATTAAACTGATTTTAATACTTTCAAGGGAGGTTTTCATTTCCTAAATGGCAGCTTTCATCTCTAATAGCTCCATTTGATTCTTTTTTATGGTATATATTTCCTCTTTCAGATCCTGGTACTTGTTTTTTCTTTTCTCCTGCATCTTCTGGCGTTCATTATCTCTTAGCTCTTGCATCTCGTTTCATTTTGTCACTACAGATATTCTGAATTCTCTATCAGACATTTCCACGAGTTCTACTGTACTGCCTGTGGATGATGAGGGATTGTTCTTTTCTCTTAGGGAAGAGATATTTTCTTGGTTTCTCATATTTCTTGTGCCTCTGAAGTTGTTTCTGGTCATTCTGTGACAAAATTTCTCCTCCCCTTTCTGAATATTTTGGGAGTCGAGAAGATGGAATTTAGAGCATAGCTTCCCTGAAAAGGCCAGGACACACCTCCCTATGATATATCTTAATGCAGAAATAATTATGAAGAGATTTATATTGTAAATTCTCTCACTAAACTTTCAATTCCAACTTAAATTCATTATCTCAAGAAAACAAACTGACAATTTTACCTTAACTTTATTAATGTGGAAAGGAGCTTAAGAGTTTTAATTATTAAAATATGTAAATTGTCATTGGGTCATGTATGACCATCAGTTTCCCAAATCTCAATAAGACTTTCTAGAACACATATTTCAGTAATGCTGTTGGAATTAAAGCAAATAATAATTTTAAGAGCTCAACTATGCGAAGAGGAAAACGAACCCAAGCTACCGCCACTTCTTTTTGTCTGGAGAATGAAACTAAAACGATTCAAAGTTGGCTGAAGAAGCAAAACAACATCTAAGCAGAAATCTTTTACAAAAATGTTATAGTGAGAAGAATAGAACCAAGGGAAAAGAAAACAGTAACTGATCAATTATGATGGAGGGAACTGGAATGGGGTAACTCCTACAAAACAAGAATAGTTTGGAAAGAAGATGGACAAACTTTGAAGAGAAACTGCAGTGGAGAAAGCAAAGGACAGGGAGAAGTTGGGACTTTAAAAAGGGAGAAGCAAGAGAGAAAAAGGATGAGGCTGGGTAGAAGCACAAATGGGAAGGACTGAGACTGCGGGAAAGGAGTGCATAGAACGAAGAAAATGGGTGGCATCGATACCTAGGGCTAGGAGGTTAAGGACTGAGCTGGTCAGGGACGAGGTATGGTGTGGGAGAATGAGCTAGGGAGAGGGCCCAGAGAGAGCTGGGGAGTAGGGTACGGAAAAAGTGACAAGGAGAGAAGAGGAAGGGCTGTGGCATAGGGGCAGCACGTGCGGACGCGCCTGGCAGTACAGAACTAAAAGGGGCCAACAGACTGCCGAGGTAGGGTGGAGAACGAAAGAAAGGGATGGGCAGAGGGCAAAGGATAGACGAGAGGAGGAGAAGGCTGGGAGCGGGAGGGCGACGGGGACTTGAGCGGCGAAAGAACAGCGGCGGTGCAGAGGACAGTGTGAAGGGAGGACAGGCTTGGGCCGGGTGGTAGGGAACGCAAGTGCTCCAAGCCGCGAACCCTCCGGGCTGCCGGGGAGTGGGGACCTATGTTCTCACCGTGGGGTCCGGAAAAGACGTGCCCGGGAGAAAGGGCAGGCCATGCACGGGGTTGGACACCATCGCAGCCGGTGTCGCCGCCGCTACCTAGGTCCGGCTTTGTTCCCTCCGGTTGCCCAGGCGACAAGCGCCGCTGGCCGGCTTCTCCGGGCTCCATGGTAACGCCAAACAATCTGAGCACCCGCGAGCGTAGGGTGGGGCCTGAAGCGCAGGCGTAAAAGGTCCCTGCCTGCGCACTCTCGGGCCTCCGCGTTCTCGCGGTAAAGGGGCCGCGGCCGCGGGGCACAGCTGGTGGGCGGGGCTACGGGGCCACGCCCCCTCCGCGCCCTGACGGAC